TGTCAGCATCCTTAGGTCTTTCCTCTTGGGCTGCCCATGCTCTCCACTGAAGATTCTTCTAGGGTCCTGACATTGCTCTGGTAGCTGAGTCAGGGAGAAGGTGGGCATTTCTACAGTAATTATGAAAACTTTCCCTCTCTCTGCTTTTAAGTGCTCTCAAGTTTCCTTGTCATCTACCAGCCCTGCAACCCACTGTTTTTACCTTCTCTAGAAGAAACTTCTCCAACCTTCTTTCAAAGTGCAGCAGGAATAGTTGGGTATGGGGACATAGGAATCTGTTTCCTAAACAGACTTTCAACTATTTGTTTCCTCTTTTCCAGAGGAATATGATGCCTTGAATTCTGGGCCTTTTGGGAGTTTGTGGTTAAAATTGAACTTGGATTTCTAGGATGTGCTAAGTCAGGTATGCCTATCCTGTCCAGCTGCTAAATCCTATCCTTGTTTCTAACACAGCTTCAAGAGAGAACAGTGCTTAATTCATGTGTTTAATTCATCATCTGTAATCAGAAGCATCACCAATTCAATCTGAAGTATCGGTGAGAGCAGAAAGGTATTCAGAATAGAAATAGTAGTCATGTTATAGGCTACAGCAGTCAGATCATATCTGGAGCAACGTTTTCCATTCTGAGTAATGTAATCTGTGTTGACAAATGACATAATGATTAGAGAAGAGAGACTGCAATAGTTTAAGATGCAAAACCAAGTTAAATAAGAAGCAACTGAAGGAATTGTTCCTATTTCTCTAGACCAAAAAGGCCTCTAAGATGCTGTGATCAAAATTTGAATGCAGTTAAGATGAATATCCATAGGCTATAATATCAATTCTCTGTTCAAAGGTTTTGGAAGGTGAGAACACTATAGCTACCTTTAAATGTATATGTATATGTATGTACATATGTGTGTATATGTATGTGTGTATACAGAGAGAGAGTGTATGAGTGAGTGTGAGTCTTGCTGTTGCCCAGGTTGAAGTGTAGTGGCACAATCTCAGCTCACTGCAACCTCCACCTCCTGGGTTCAAACAATTCTCCTGCCTCAATCTCCTGAGTAACTGGGATTACAGGCATGTGCCACCACACCCAGCTAACTTTTGTAGTTTTAGTGGAGATGGGTTTCACTTATGTTAGCCAGGCTGATCTCAAACTGCTGACCTCAAATGATCCACCCACCTTGGCCACCCAAAGTGCTGGGATTACAGGTGTGAGCCACAACTGCTGGCCGCTCCCTTTAAATACTTAATTGACTCTTATATCACAAGGATAATTCATAATGTCTAATGACATTATGTTTCTTTTCAAACAAGATAAAAGTGATCACTGAATCAAGTGAAACCAAAATACATTTTGGCTCAGTGTAAGGGAAACCTACAATAAGCATCTGAAACATAAATGGGTCCAGGTAGATAATATAAACATGTGAACTGGCTGGACGAAGATAGCAGCATACTGAAAGTGCCTGTCATGTGTAGAGTGATAGAGTGAGCAGCGGCACTGAAAAGCTCAAGATTTTCAAAAGAACTCATATTTTGAGATTTATTTACAATATTCAGTTTTTGGACGTTATTTTTGAAAATTTCTTGTCTTATACCAAACATATAGGCAGAATGAATTTATCCCATGTGACTCCTGTTTGTGACTTCCCTAAGGCTTAGGTCTGATACCCCAAAGTTATCACTGGAATTGTCCCAGTTAGACTTGGCTGCTCATGTATCAGGCATAATAGTGAGAATAAAATTGAACTAAATAATGTCTAATTGCCTTTCACTTCAGAAAGTCTATACTTGAAATGTAATTTTTTTTTAATGTAGTTATCCATGGAGTAACTGTGCCCATTGCATGATCTGCAGTCTTTACTTTTCCTTCTCATGCCTATCACTGTTTTTGGTCACTTAATATCACTGTGTAAAGCACATAACTTATGCATATGTGGCAACTTATATGTGGCTCTTTTAAAAGAATCATCTAAGAATGAGGCAAAATTGCTAGCCATACTGATTTTAAGTGTTACTTGTTGTTTTCTATAATCTACATAGTCACCATATCCCCAAAGAAGTTGTATGATATAATGGAAAAAATAATATATGCATGGTAGATTTACACTAATCAGAGTTTTAGAAGCTACAATATACATTTGAGGCCATAATCCATTAGTTTACATTTGAAAGTCTTGAGACCTAAAAGGGTTAAATGACTTGCTAAGTTGTACCCAGTACATAATACCTGGTATTGGGTACAGTTAGGGGAGAGGAGACATGATCCTGTTCTGAGGAACTTTACAATCTCAAATCAGGACAACACACACATCTATTTGAGCAATTTAAGGTTTAGAAAATCCAAAATAATGTAATTATATTTTATTGTGATTATTACTGAAAGCTTAGGAGTTCACTTTCAAAATAAGAAAATAGATACTATGGAACTTGACTTCAGGGCACACCCCATGTTGAGTGTCATTCCCCGCACTTTCCAATTCTCCATCTTCTTCCTGCCATTAGTTCTCTGATGAAAAATTTTACTATCAAATAACTAATAATAAATTAGGAGTGAGAAATTTATGAAAGAGTACTAATGAAGAGTAAATGGTAGCTACCAAGTAATTAGTTTTCAACTACTTAAGCATTATAATGAATGTCTCCTTACATTGAGTAAGGAGGCATTGAGCACTTTTTAATGAGTTTTAGTGCATTTCACTCCACTTTCCATAATGTAGTGTTAATTCTTTCCATACAACCCTGATTTCTTTTCATAAAGAAAATGTAGGAAAATATAGAAAACCTTCATCTTTTATCTCAATAAATACAGACTCTATTCAGGAAACAATTACTAAAAGAATGGAGTTCCAAATTAATTCATTTTCCTCATAAAAAGTTAGACATAAATATCAAAGGACTAAGTTCATTATTTTCCAAGCCATGGTCTTATGACTGGAAAGTTTAAACATGTACTTTTTAAACATGTTTAAAAAGCAAGTGACATCTCACAAAAAGAAGATGCAAGCTTTGAATTTTAGTGTTACATTTCTAAATGATCTTCCAGAGAGATATGTGGAAGGTATTAGTCATTGTAGGAAACTGAAAGGTATAACATGATGGAATAGGGATCACATTTTTCTCTTTGAGGTGATATATATTTAAATGAGTTCTCCATAATCCTTTAAACTGAAGTGCAAATTGGTTATCAAAGTCCTTTGCTGTAAGGGTTGTTTTACATAATAATGAATTTTACAGAGTTCCTCAAAGGAAAATACTGATTTAGGCAATATCACAGAATATTTCAGTTACAGTAACACGTTAGTACCATAGACAGCATATAAAAACTTTCTAATATAAATTTTTTTATTAAAAAGTGTAGTCAGTGTACCTTTCTGAATAGAAAATACATTTGTGATAGAAATTTTTAATTAAAAAAATTCCATTTAGTCTATCATTCCTCATCTACCTTAACAAGTGTTAGTGCGAGTCAACCATATGCTAGGTACATGGCTTGTGTGTGTGTGTTTTAAATGGGCTGCATGAAAGTAGGAGGAAATGTTCATTTGCCTATACATATGTGTGTCGTTATGATCCTTAACTCCATTATTATATTTTTAACTCTGTGCTATATAATTTATATATGCTACTTGGTTCATTACTCACCATGTGAGGCAGCCATGAGTATCCAAATTGTGTGTGTTATATGTGATGATTTGAACCAGAGTTTATTTCTCTCATCCATTATGCTACACTCCCACCTCAAATCTTCTTCTTTTCATTCTTGAGCCCTATATGGCTAACCTCCAAAGGTAAGCTCCAGCCCTCACCGCAGTGATAAGAGTAAACAAACTGACAGGCTCCTGTGTGTGGTAGCTCAGGGACCTAGGTTTCCAAGAGTTCTCATTGTTTACGTGCCCAGATGGGCTTACTTCACTTCAGTGAAATCCTAAGACAGAGCCCTGAGGAGAACTTGAAATTGAGGCTGTAAATGCAAAAGGGCACTGAATTCAGTAACGAGCCCTGTGTTTGAGACTCAGGTCTATCACTAACTAGATGTACAGGTCTAGAAAAATCAGTTTACCTTCCTGAGCCTTTGTTTTCTTATCTGCAAAATGAAGAGGTTGGATTTATTAGGGGCTTTCACACTGTATTATTTATTTATTTTGTAAGAAGTGGAACTCTTCCAGCAAATTAAGTCTTATATTGAATGCCAGTAAGTAAACAGATACAGGGAAGTTACAATGGTCAGAGCAATGGCTGGGTTTTGAAGAGGTGTGAGTCTGTCTACTTACTGGATATCTTCCTAATCCCCATCTTAACTCCAAGGAGGCTTCTTTTAGAACACACTTTTCAAACTGTGGCCTACCATCAAGTTTATACCAGTTCTCACATACTGTGACTCAAAAAATATCTGTAGCCATATGAAAAGAGCATTAGACTTGTACTAAAAAGGAGCTGGGTCAGGACTGATAATTCAAAGGACAGAGGCTATTAAATTGTAAAATATATAATCAAATAACTTGGCCTGTGGGGGCCAGGGGCATGCCTTAATCTTGACGTTCCTAAATTTGGGTATTGAAGTTTTTCAGGGTGGCAGCAAAGGCAGGTTGGTATTATAATAATTTTTGAAACCTGTCAAATTTTGCTGTAGTTAATTTAATTATATATGAATATTACATTAGCTTGATAGCATTATTCTGTTAATTGATTTTATTTTCTGAAAGGTTACTTGATATGAGATAAACTTTCAATTATGACTCAACTTCTGTGGATTATACCATCAAAACATTTTTCCTTGCATTTTCTTTTTAGTATGAGTCTTAGAAAAATTGGTTCATCTACAATAAAAGTAAAAAAAAAAATCCCATTTCATCATTGCAACTCTTGGCTTAAGACATTGTTGACATATCTGTATTAAACGCTATTAAACTCAGCCAGCATCTCCCTGGCCCCGTACTGTCTCTCTGATTGACAGCATTTCACTGGTTTAATTCCCACCTGTCTGTGACCATGGATCCTTTTCACTTACCTGCCTCCGCCTTCTGCTGTTTCTCAATCTTCTCCAGGCGTCCTAGCAAGGAGTCAATTTTAGTTTTGATCTGGGTTAATTCTTTCTTGATGGTCTGTAGCTCATCTGATTTCACTGGAAAGGAGAAAGAAGAAAGAAGACAACAGAGCATCAGATGTACCATAACTCACCTAGGACTCAGCTCACAGGCACCCCGTGTTTCTGAAGTCTGTGTCAAATCACATAGGATATTTTTCGGTTTTATCAACTTATTACTTCTAGAGATCCTGGAACACTGGATAATTTTGTCAAATACACATACGGATTCTCAGTGACATGAGCCTTTAATCCTACATCTTTTGACGGAAGGTTATGGAAATGGATAATGGAATTTAGAAATATTTTATAAAATAACCAAATGATGCTAAATTAAATTTTAGCAAATAGAGTAAATCTGCAATGTGAGAGGGATTCAGATGAAGAATAATTAAATTATGACAGGTATGTTAATACTACTTTGAGGTGCTACATATATAATATATATTTCAGCAATCAATGATATTTTAACCCAGCTGCTTGAAGATTAGAACCAGGAAATAAAATGTATCCTTTAAAGAAAATGTTTTTCCAGCTCTCTCAAAGTTGCTATGAAGCTTTAGTCTTTCTAACAAAAAATAAGGCAGGGGTTGTGCATGCCTCCCTCTAAGCCCTGGGCTTGATGGAAAGGAAAATTACTGAACTTCCCATTGATATTTTCAATAGTACTGGTTCCCATGCTAGATGTTTAGAGTTTAGTATAGTTTCAAAGAAAACAAATGGGGACTAACGTAAGACTGACACATTTCATTTTGCCAAGTATGGATGTTAAAAACAACAATAAATAGCCTACTATTGACTATAGTAATTATTTTGTAAGAAAAAAGGGCTTAGGAAAGAACAATCTCATATTTCAAAGATAATTCTTTAAATAAAACATATTTATATTTGTAAAATTTTACTGCACTATCTTTATTTTATTTTTCTGAGAACCATTTCAGTTTTACCAACTTTTCATTACTTCTAGTGATCCTGAAATACTGGATGATTTTTGCGAGTTACAAAAATAGAGATTCTCAGTGACATGAACATTTAATCCTAAACCTTTGACAGAGGGTTATGTAAATGGATAATGGAATTTAGAAATATTTTGAGTCCACAACTATCAGAGATTGAAGATTTTAAAGCTATCACTATGCAACAGCTACACCTGCCTTAAAGCTTTTATTGGGTGGACTGGCAGTTTTCACACCTCAGTCAAAAGCCAAGTTTCAAGCTCTTGGACACATTTGATTCCAGTCTAGTTTTCTTCTCTCTCTTTTCTTTCAGGTTTCTAATCATCTCAGAATAGATATTTCCTGGAAATTTCTGAGGAAATTAGAGTGTTTAGCTTGATTCTTTAGTCTTTAGACTTTTTTTGAAAAAACAAAAATATGCAATCTATGTTTCCTTAAAATAGAACTATTTGTCAATTAAGATAAATGATGTAATATACATAACATGTTATGGATCAGAAACACTAAGTCTCAAGGGAAGAACAGATTTTTATATAAAAATGAGAAAACTTTTCCATTGTGAAATCAGATTTTCTTTTTAAAGCAGACTTTTATTTACTATGTAAAGTAGTTTGCAAAATAAAAACTGCAAGAAGCATGGGCCCTCTGGAGTATCCCTATTATGAACTACTAAACTGAAAGTAGAACAGTGTGAAATAGAGAATCACTCCATATGTCAATTACTTCAAAGACATCAAAGTACCATTGTGGAATTGCAGCTGAATTTGAAAAACATCATCTGTCACAATTGCAAATTGATTCTGCTTTGAAGAATGGTACTCATTCTTTTTGATGAAAGCATATGTAGTTTTACTTAAATGTATTACATTTAATAGAAACTATTTTATCTTATATCATTACATTTCAGTGCAGAAGAAATAGGACTATGGCTGAAAACTAACAGAATATATTTCTTAGCAACTAGAGCTACTCCTTAGCCCAGGAATGCAGTTGACTAATTTAAGTTTATGTATTGCCTTAAAAAAACATAAACCACTTTATAGAAACTACATTAGAAAGACTCATCTGGCCAGAACTTAGAAGTCTTCAGGGAGCCAAGGTTTCATTTAAGTCTAGACTCATGTCTAGCTCTATAAGAACATTTTTCAGATCACAGCTGGATTATTATATGATTTGGGTCTAATAGGCTAATGTTGCTCAAGAAACAATGCTCAAATAAATGTAACATGGAAATCCAGAGAGGTCCTGTCAGTTCTTTCCTGGACCCTACTAGGAAATGTTCGAGTGAGTTTCTAACCCTATGCAGGCTGCTCAATTCCTCTCTTAGAATTGAGTAGCAAATGTTCATCTAGGGTCCTGCAAAGCAGGCTCTGCAAATTGTCTTGGTTACCTCTTGAGCAACTTGAGGAGTCGTATTCTCATCACATTTCAATATCTCAGTGCTATCCGTGGAAAAGGCTTGCCCCTTACCTGGTCCAATTAGTCTAAGTCCACTTTCTACTGTTTTTCATGCAGTCATTATCTATATATGGGGTATGATTTGTGCTATTACATCTGATTTCTAGATGGAATGCCTGGAATGAGCCACCTCTACTGTCTCTGGTATACTGCTCTATCTGTCCTCTGCTTTCATTTTCTACTTTTCCCCTTCCTGTTAATAATTTCTCTACTGCACAGTGAATTACATTAAGTCCCTGTTTTTGCTTACTAGTCTCTGGTAGTTGAGCATATATACATACATTACAGGTATTTTAGAAGACATTGGTAATACTTTCTTCAGAGGAAAAAATATATTTTCTCTTTTTCTCTAGATAAACTTTACCACAAAAAAATCGTATCAAAAATTATCTACAAAAGCAACCATACTGTCATAATAAAAACCTCTTGTGGTTTTGTTGAAGACAACTGATTTTTCTACGGGTGATCATAGGCCTTGAATTTAGAATTACCAAACAAATTCAGCAAAACGATAAATTTAATAAATTACAAAGTTCCTAGGACAAATTACTTTAGCTTATTTTTAGGCAAGAAGAACACTAGAGAAATAGAAGTCAAGTTGCACCATACAGATAATCTTATATATTTTCCTAAAGTATCACTGTAGTATTTTTGTTTCAAAAACTAAGTTACATTAAGTCATTTCAGGTTGGCTTTCTCTATAGAGTTCATTTATTTGGTGCTATTACATTGTGATACAGTTGACAAAATGATTGCATCTTCTGCTGTGACATGAGATATAATCCCAAAAGAATATTAGGCACATGAGATGATACCATCTGCCTATATATAAAAATGTGCATTTCTGACTTATGTAGTAAAAAATATTTCAGTTTATTTTAATCATCTTTGGGTCGAGTCTATTTGTGGTAAATAAAGAAGCTTCAGCTAACTAACTGTCTAGATCAGTGGTTCTCAACAGAGAGTGATTTTGCTCTACAGGAGAGATTCTGCTATGTCTGGAGAGACATTTTTGCTTGTTATGACCTGCAGGGGGTGGTGCTACTGGTTTCTAATGGGCATTTAGTATGCTCAACATCTTAAAATGCACAGGATAGCCCACACCACTCCATAGAGTTATCTGACCCAAAATGCCGATCATGCCAAACTGTAGAAATCCTGCTCTAGATAACTATATAACCTCCCTTACTAATACTATGCTTCCTATCAAATATCTAGAAAACTGAAAAAAATGTTTGTAATCATGTGGACTTTGACAATAAATCACATTGTTGGCCGGGCGTGGTGGCTCAAGCCTGTAATCCCAGCATTTTGGGAGGCCGAGGTGGGTGGATCACGAGGTCAAGAGATCGAGACCATCCTGGTCAACATGGTGAAACCCCGTCTCTACTAAAAATACAAAAAATTAGCTGGGCATGGTGGCGCGTGCCTGTAATCTCAGCTACTCGGGAGGCTGAGGCAGGAGAATTGCCCGAGCCCAGGAGGCGGAGTTTGCTGTGAGCCGAGATCGCGCCATTGCACTCCAGCCTGGGTAACAAGAGCAAAACTCCATCTCAAAAAAAAAAAAAAAAAAAAAAAAAAAAAAACACATTGTTGTTTCCCCATCAATTAATATATTATTTGAATGTCAAAAATAAAGAAATAAATATACTTTGTATAGCACTTAATTTTTAAATCACTTTTAAGTACAGTATTTCAATGTTAAAAAACCTGAGAATCTAAAGATGAACATGAGTTTCCCAAAATCACATGATATACCCACGTAACAGTTCAGGCTCAAACCTAGATTTTCTTAATTTTAATTCTACACTTTTTATTGTGCCATGCAGCTTCAGTTGATGTGAAACTGAAAAATGTTCTTACAGAGCTAGACATGAGTCTAGACTTAAATGAAACCTTGGCTCCCTGGAGACTTCTAAGTTCTGGCCAGACGAGTCTATATTTCTAATTGTTTTCTAATGTAGTGTCTATAAAGTGGGGTAGCAGTGGTTTACTGGTTTATTGGTTTGTGTTTTTATGGAGGCTGGAAGTTGGAGATCAAAGTGTCAGAAGGCTTGGTTCCTTCTGATGGCTGTGAGGTAAGGATCTGTGTCAGTTTCAGTTCTTTCCTTCACTATGAATTAAGGAACCACTATGTTTAATTCAGTAATATTCAGGAAAAGAAAAGGAAGGTTTCTAGAAATCTTTATCATGATCACTTCAATGCCTCGGCTCTGCTTTTATCTGTCTCTGTTTATATATACAAAAAGTCCCAATAATAAGAAAATGAACAACTGGCCTGAAGTTACAGGATAGATGATACCCTTGTAACATAACATATAATGCAAATTCTAAGCTAATTTAATATGACAAGGCTAATTTGCTAGTCTTGGAAATAATTTTCAAAAGCCAAACTTTAAGGTATTTTGCTAAAATAAATTGGAGCAACTGGTTATTACCCACCCCATAGATCAAATTTCCTAGAATAGGGAATTACATATATATGCATATATAGTATGTATTCATAAGACCTATGCCTACATACATCTATACCCATTCTTTTTTTTTGAAAGAAAATAGAGAATGAGTGGATTTTATTTAATAAGTATTCATTAAATGCCTACTGTCTGCATCTGTTCATCTTGC